AGCTCCCCTTTGGGTATTAATTTAAAGCAGTTTTCCTGTGAGTCGAATGACCTGCTTTGCCTTTTGACCGTCCCTCTTCTCTCTGATCATTAGTAATACTGCTCAGATAGCAGTTTCTGTAAATAGGATTTTAGAGTAGTTTACAAAATTACACCAGCCAAAGGGCTTAATTTAGCCTTAATGAATAGGCTTTCTTATTTTCGTATTTCTTAGGTTTGATAGCTAAGCATTTTCTTAGCCCTGCTCTGGCTCCGGGGTGGAAAGATGGATGGGGTGCAGCGGTATGATATCATAAACTGAGGGTTTCTGAGTTGCTGAAACTGTTTGTTCTGTGTTCTCTGTTGGAATGAGTAAATCTGAATGAAACTTCAGCAGTATGTTGACTAAATTTATATTTACATTTTAAAAGCAGGATTCTAGTGGGATCCATCAGCTGAATAGAAAAAATCACTTTTATGACTGAATGTTTTTATCCTACACATCATGGGTGCATTTAATAGTGTTGAGGCTTTGCTTCTCATTTATACCTTCTTGAGCTAATTATTTTTTAAAATACTGCTGTCTAACTTTTAGACGTTGGAAATAATTTTATGTTTTGGAAACTGTAATTTTTGGTTGTGGATTGACTCTGTAGAAAACACTCATTTTCTCTGTCACCCTTTGACAAAGAAGGGCAACTAATTGGTGGAGTGGGCAGGAGCCTGAGTGGCACTCCCCACTCCTCTTGGAGTTGGCCGTTGCGCTGTGATTCTCTTTCAGGAGTGGGCACTCACCAGTGTTGGCTCCCTCTTTCCCTGCAGGGCCGGACCTCTGCTCTCCGCGAGGATAAGGCTCATAAAGCAGCTTCGCACCAGAAGGCGAGGTAAGGTTCTTGGGAGAGGTTTCTGCAGAAGAACAGTGGTGGATAATAAACACGTCCTTGGCAAAATGATTAACCATGGAGTTTAAAACTATGGGGGGGAAGCTGTATTGAATAATACATATATTTAAACTAAGAAATGTGGAAGGTGAAGTAGAAAGAAAAGTTCCTTGTTCTCCCAATTTTAGTCTTTAAATGGGAAATGCCAACACATGGTACAAATCCAAACATTTCTAAAGGATTATACAAGGGAAAGAGATCTTGATTCTACCTATTCCCTCAGTTCCCCACCCTGGGAGCATCGTTATTCTCCGATTCCTGGGTGTCCTCCAGAGATGGCCCTTGAGCAGCACTTATGAAGTTGAGGTTAAAGTATAGATTTAATTTTTATTCTGCTTTTCCCTTCCTAGCATTATAGCATGAACCTTTTCCTATAAATAAAACATTTTTTATGGTTAACCTGTTCCAGTTCTTAGATGGGTAAGTTGTTTTAACTATGGTTATACTGGGTGATGTTGCAGTGAACATCTTTGTGCATAGAGTTAGAGTCTTTTTCCTCCCACCGTAATGTTAAGTGTAAAGCTTTTGAAGAAGGGCGGCGGGACGCGTTTTGCGGTGGCGCTCCTCCGTGCCCGCGGGCCGGGTTTGCGCCGGCTTTCCTTTTTAAGCGCCGTGTGCCTTTCTCTAGTCCTTTTTCTGTGGCTTGCATGGGTGCGCACTTTTTATGGCCACACAGAGGCCCGGACTCACAGTTCCCTGCTATTGGGGGTGTGCGTGGCCATAGATTCAATCTACCCGAGGCAGTCACAGCCCTTGGATACCCTAAGTGTAGGCAAATGTGCCAGCTGAGGGGAAGGGAGCTTGGGGATGACGATGAGTGAAGCATGTGGAAGGATGTGTTATATTCAGGGAAATAGTGTCCAGTGTCCACTTGGTCCCCTGTTTTGGCATTTGCTCTTCACTTCTGTGGGTGTTGAGTTTTTGTATATGGAGCATGGGAATCTACAAACCACAAGTACCTCCTACAGAGCCCTTTCTAATAGTTGGTATATGTGTATTGAAACAGATTAGTGGAATTGGAAGATGTTGGTTTTTGCAAGGGTTGTGGCCATTTCTTTTTTAATTCTCAGTGTGCTGAGAGCGTTTTCCCAGGCATTCTAGGGGTTGGTAGGTAGGGGCTTACTTAAGAAGCTTCCCAAGGCTCACTATGGCAGAAGTGAACCAGTTCTGTCTTAGTTGACATAAACGCCTCTCTTACTTAGCTCACTTGTTCTCTGGGGCTGGGTTGATTGTCTAGCCATTTTTCCCCAAGAAAAATGATATAGTCAATAATGGAATTCAAGAGAGTGTTTCCTTTTTAGTTGGCTGTTAATTGGAACCTGGGACACCATCCATTTTCTGGGCCCTTGTTTTACTGTGGAATGCTTCCATAAAACGTGCATCTCTCATCACTGTGTAGACTCCTGCTTAGCTGGAAGGTTGTCTTGGCATTGGACCTACCCTGACCTCAGGGAGCCTCGCTTACTGCATTTCTTAATACTGGAGACCTGCTTCATGAGCAGTCCTTGAGCAGAGGTCGAGCTGGATCTTGTGGAAAATGAGGAGGTGTAGAGACTTTGCTCTGCCTGTTTGTTAAGCATGTTTCAGTAAGTGTCCTATATATATATATTTTTATTTTTTTATGTTTTTATTGATTTTTAGAGAGAAAGGAAGGGAGAGGGAAGAGAATCAGCTGCTTCCTGCATGCACCCTGACCAGGGATCAAACCCACAACCTGGGCATGTGCCCTGATTGGGACTTTAACTGGTGACCTTTTGGTGCATGGGATGACACTCAACCAACTGGGCCACATTGGCCAGGGCAATAAGTGTCTTATATTTTTAGACTTTCGGGCAGTGTTGCCAAGATTGAATTGCCTGAGTAGAGAAATTTGGTAGGAGGAAACTAGAAGAGAAGCTCTTTATTAAAGGTCTAAAAATAGAATTCATTAAAGTCACAAATAGATAACAGTAAGATTCGTGTATTGTTTTCTCCTCCTCTGGATTTATGCTACCAGCTGTTGCTTCTGCTTACCTGGAAAAGATCACAATATTTTGTCAGAAGGGCCAACAATATAGACTTAAAACACAGAGTTTGCCAGTCCAAAGATGTGCTTTTTCCTGTTTTAAAAGTAGTTTAAAAAGAGGCTGGGTTCCCTGGCACCAGGAAGAAATCCTTAGCAGGAAAAGTTCATTGTTCTCCTTGCAGTGCTAGCCCTGAGCTGACGGGGCTTGTGGTGTCCCTGTCCCCTCAAAGCCCTGAGATTTTTTCCTTCTGGTTGGGCATTGCTGACCAGAGAGGAGACTCCTATGCAGGCCATTTAATCCACCTGATTCAATCAGATGGCATCTCAGGTCTCCATTCTGTTTTTTTAGGAGAGGTTCCTTTTTATTTTTTAAATTTTTAAAAATGTATCTTTATTGATTTCAGAGAGAGGAAGGGAGAGGGGAAGAGAGAAACATCAATGATGAGAGAGTCGTTGATCGAGCCTGCAACCCGGGCATGTGCTCTGACAGGGAATCAAACCAAGATCTCCTGGATCCTGGGTCGATGCTCAACCGCTGAGCCACGCTGGCTGGGCGGGCGGGGTTCCTTTTTAATTCACGCAGCTGGGAAGGAAAATGGCTGCTCATACTTCTTCTTATGCAGGCCTCTGATTCTCCGGGCTGCCTGTGCCCTTTCCCTCCATGTGCGGGGGTGAAGGAATGTCCTGGCCTCCCCTCTCTCCTCTGGCCCTGAGCTTCCAGGGAGAATGGGGCCCATTGTCGCACAGCCCTTGGCTTCAGTGTCAGGCCTGCGGTGGCCTCTCTGTCCGCTGTGGTTACTGGGTGCTGGGGGTCCAGCAATGCAGTCACTTCCTCACATGCTGCCCTGCTGTTCAAGAGTGTTCTGAGGGTGGCTTATGCTCTGTTTGCCTCTGATTTTGTCATGTCTTGATAGACATTCTTGTGGACCCCTTTGTGGGCCTGAGCTCACTCTTGCAGCAGATTTGAGGCTGTATTTGGAGTGGGAGGCCTGTTGCCCCCAAGAGTGGCTGAGGAGTGCTGATCACAGGAGGCTGGGCTCTCCCTCCAAGCTTTTATGTTCCGAATCCACTGGGAAGCATAGAATAATGCTGTGTGTGTGTGTGTGTGTGTGTGTGTGTGTGTGTGTGTGTGTGAAATTGGACTTTAAATTCTTATTTTTTAAATTAATTTTGGCCTTCAACTATGTCTCAATAAAGCTGAGAAAAGATTATTTGGACCTTAATCAACTTTAGAAATCGTTGAAGATGTGAAATGCTAGAATGTGATTCTCCAGGCAGGGGAAGCCAGAGGGACTCAGCTTTTTAATAAACAAGTGTTCTGGATATGGGTCCCTTTCCTTGTCACCAAACTGCCTTACCAGTTGGATGGCTCTTCTCCTGACCTCAGGCCAGTGTGTCCCTGGGGAAAATGTGTGAGGTACTTATGGTTTTGGTGAGTGGCCAGATAGAGACCACCAGCTGCTGCTTTTTCAGGGGTGTTGGCTTCAGACAGGGAACCAGATGTGAGATCAGCTGTTGTGCTTTAGCAGGTTCTGGGAAGAGTAGATGTCAGCAGAGTTGGTAGGGAATGGAGAGGGCAAGGTCAGGCCCTCCTGGGGGTGCTGAGGCCTTTTTCTACCTGAGGTCTCTCTTGCATGGGTGGCTGCTGAGAAATTGGCTCCTCTGAACCCCAGACAGGTAGACTTGGAATAGTCCTGGAATTGTTTGTGATCTTCTGAGTAAAAACTCCGTTCTTTCCACAGTGCTTCACTGTGTACGATTTCTTTGTCTTCTGTGGAAGTGTCTTGTGAAAGGAACAGCTGGCACTGGCCCTGCCCTGGATGTTTGCCTTCCTCCTACCTTTTATCTTCTTTTATTACAGGAGCAAAATCTAGACTGTTTTATCCTTCTGCCGGAGCAGAGTGATATTTCCTTTCCTCCGTATTAGGATTGGAAGTCGCGTTTTGTTTTTATCAGCTAAAGTGCCGGCACTGTGATGAGATGGAGTTGCGCTTCTAAGGAGAACTCTTCCTTCCTGATGGTGCCTGCGCATTCTATGGTATTTGGTCACGACCTCCTGAGAGGTGAGGTTTCCCACTGAGGACCCTTGCTTTTCGACAAGACAGGCACGATTTTTGGCCCAAGGGTGGTGTGGTTGAACAATGAAAACACTGAATACCCTCAGCACTGGACTTTGGGCCTGAGGAAGGAACCTATCAGAGGTACTGAGTCCCCTGGGACCCCTCCCGTCCTTAAGTAAAGCCCTTGATCTCTCTGCCTTAGTAAAATCGGGACTGAATGTCCTCCTCGAAAGATGCTCAAGTAATGTCCCTGCACCTCCCTAATTGCTACTTGTTATTATCACAGCTGTCCCTTTTCTTTCTGGTGTAAATTAAGAGTGTGATATTTAATAAAGGCTGGACGTATTTCTTAGGTTGAATGATGGGTTCAAGGGTGGTTTTTTTTGGTGTGTTTTATAATTACATACGTGATAAATTATTTTATGTGTACCAAGTATTTTATTAAAAAAAACAAACCTAGACTTGAGCCCATTGGTACTTTCCAGAAAGCAGCTGTAACTTGACTGCTCGCCCACCTGTGGAGCTTTGAGTGCTGTGGTGTCTTACGGGGCGGGTGCTCCTCGGAGACACTGGCCGCTGTCAGGATGAGAAAAGCACTAAAATAGTTTGGGGGTGAAGGTCTCTGTTAACTAGACAACAGTGTTTAGATGTGTAAGGAGTCCCTTTGATGTGCCCAGGTTTGTTTTCTTGAACCTCGCCAGTGACGCAGAGGAGCCTGGACCGACGGGCAAGTTGCCGTGTGAGTTGACTGACTGGATGTGCTTTGTTTTGTTTTTTTGTAGAATGTTTATTTCTGTTTGAGTTATTAACAGCAATGCATGCCTCATGTGACCATACAACTTCCTGACTGGGTAACTTATAATAACTTTGACTTTTCAGCCAACAGATGCATTAAAATGAGACCTGGAGAGAGTGGGTGTTCCTGGTTGAATGGTGGGCAGTAGCAGACTGTTCCTGGAACCTGTAATTCAGCTGAGCTGTAGGGACGGAAAGAGTTGGAACTGTTTAGAACAGGAATTTTAAGGGTTTTTGTTTTTTTGTTTTGTTAATACAGTGAACTTAATATGGAATGCCTGAACCTTACTCTGTGAAGCCAGCACCCTCCCTGAAACCTGAAGTTTAGGGCTTCCTTGACTCCTTGTGGGCCATGTCGAGTGCTGAGCTCTGGGGTGTGAGGACCAAGAGGATACAGGCACCAGTGTCCAAATCCTGAGCAGAGAATAATTGTCATAAAGACAGAAATTGGGTTCCAGTCTCCAGGTGATGAGGGCACTGCAGTTTTTGAGTCTCTGTTGAGGGAGAGCTGCTCTGGGTCCCCAGTGGAGAAGGCTGCAGGTGATTTCCAGATAGTGAAAGGCATTTGCTCTCTGACCTTTGTGTTAGAGGCAAGTGAGGGTGGTGGGACTGTTGACTGTTATCAGATAAGAAAAAGACATGTTACCACCCGAGGGGATCTTAAAATAAAGCTCTAGATGCTCACTCCAAATCCTCTGATAGAGTAGAGGGGAAGTAGAGCCACAGGGCTGCTCCCAGCCTTGGAGCTCGGAGAAGGCCGCTGGACAGGAGCTCACTCTCAGGACAGAAGAAACCCCACTGTGGGTTTCTCTCACAGCCACTCCAGGCTCCTTGTCGTTGGGGGAGATTATTGACCTTGGCAGTTTTATTTCAGATTTGGATCTGGGTTAGAGAAAGCAGAACACAGAGGTGTGCCTGGTGATATCCATGTTCCTTAGCTAGCTGCTCATGCAGGTTGTCTGAAGCACAGAAACGTCACACATAAGAGCTTAGAGGTGACTGGCTTAAGATGATTTGTATGTTGTATGTATATTTTAAAGTGTTTGTGTCAGGTCCTCTTCTAAGTGCTTTACATGCTTAGCTTACCTAAGGAATCTATGTTTATAATTGGAAAAGTTAAAGAAAAAAGGAATTTGATCTAGGAGGTGTTTAAGATTAAATACTGACTAGTAAGCAGCCTTCCGAGATAGGCTAGCCTGTGGACTGTGGACCCCTAGTCCCTGACAAGTGACCTCAGGCCATCAGTACTGTGCCTCTGAATCATCATAAGGGGGAGGGGAGGGCTAGGCCTATCCCAGGGGGTGATGTGAGGAATTAGGGAGAGGACCTAGGAGAGCTGACAGGAAGTTGGAGGTTATTTTCAAAGCCAAGCTGACATTTGGGTGGACACTTTCCAAGGGTGAACCTGAGTGAAGAACTCACCCTGAGTGGAGGAACTTGGCTGGTTTGCTCTGTTAATCCCTAAGTCAGCTGGAGGAGATAGGAGGCAAGGGGTTACTGTGTGGGAACAGTGAGGCGTGGGAACTAGAGGCTACTGTGGGGCCAAGTGGACTGGCTGTTGTGTTAGGAGAGAGGTTGTTTGAGGCTTAGGAGGGATTCTCATGGTGATTGCTTATCACCTGGGGTACTGTGGAAGCCTGGGGTACTGTGGAAGCCTGGCGTACTGTGGTGTTCCTGATGGCTTGAATGGTTGCCTCAGACTCTGTCCTATGAGTATTGTGTTTTACACATGTTCCCTGTTTGAAAGCTATTTTGGAGGAGTTTCCTGCTTCTCCATTTAGGGCCCAGCCCCAGCAGTAAGGACCTGGAGAAATGGGTAGGGCTAGCCAGAATCTAGTCTTTCCCCCATCAGCGTCATCAGGCCGCGTGGGCTGGGTGAATGGTGGCTGAAGGTGTGGGTATGTGGAGGGCTGACAGTATTGCTTTAGTGTGGCTCCAGGTCCAGGAACTTGTCAACTTGTAGCTTTCTTGTGTGCAGGCCTACCTCAGTTTACCCCAGAATTTGATGGATAGCCTATGTCTGGTCCGAGGGTGACTGCTAACCTTAGAGACAGAGCTGCTGCCTGATGCACTATTGCTGTGAGGATCTGGGGGTACAGGTCTGTGTTCATGGCCACTTAGCCCTTTGTATTATACTGAGCCCATTGCCCTTCAGCAGGGAATTGCCCCTGAGAAGAGGTGTCATGTGTTGTGCAAGATTTACCTGGCATTTCTCCACTTCTGGGCACTTAACATGCACCTGTGGTGTTTTTGTTGTGCTGCTATTTCACACATTTAAAATTTCATTTATTTCATACTTGAATAATTTCAAAGCCAAGTAAATTCAGATTTTTGCCTCCTATATGTCCACCAAAGGTGCTTAGGTCTAAAGAAGTAGACCAGGGTTTTTTTCTTGTTTTGAATTCATGTTTTCTGAGGGCTGTCCTTTGAGGTAAGGATGGCATCACTGTGAGGCTTCCTGTGTATCTTCTGATTGGTGACCATGGATCTGATCCTGAGAGATGCTGGCTTCAGCCTGCCCGGATCTGTGTTTCGTGCAGGGAACTCTGAACATGGTGCTGCTGGCGTTTTTCTCCAGGAGGGAAGGTTCCTGGGAAGGGAAGATGAAACTATTTTTAATCTTAAGCAAACATAGCCCAATGTAGTAATTTCAGGCCCCAGTGTTTGACATTTTCTTCCATTATAACCCAAGCCACTTTTAAAAACAAAGTCCTTTTTTGTATATTGTGTGTTTGTAGTGTTTCTAGAGGAAAATGCTTTAAAAATCCCCTCATACCTTATAAACCTGAGGACTTGGGGTCCTGGTGGGCTGCGTGTTTTGAATCTTGGAACCCAGAATGCTAGTGGACGAAGTGCTGGGGTGTGAGGTAAGTGGGGGGGGGGTTAGGGTTCCATAGCCTGTCAGTTTACAGAGCTCATCGGATGACTTTGTCTTACACTGTGGGTGAATATCCTTGTTGTGCCAGGGAAGAACTGAGGTCCCGAGAGGGGAGGTGCACCATGCCCCGCCTTCCTTTTTCTAACTGCTGTTTTTTTTCCATTTATGTGGCATATATTTTTGTAACTTTTAAATTTTGATATAATTTCAAACTTACAGAATAATTGCAAGAATAATAAAAGGAACTCCTAAATGCTTTTTCCTTGAGTCACCATTTGTTACATTTTGCCTCGTTCGCTTTGTCATTCTCATTTCTAGCTGTACACTTTCCCCCTGAACCATTTATGAGTAATGGGCAAACATCATGCCCCTTTATTGCTAAATACTTAATTGTGCATTTCCTAAGAATAAGGACATTCTGTTACGTAACCATAGTACATCTACCAATATGAGGAATTTTAACATCAGTATAATATCTGATCTGTATCTGTATTCGGATTTCCTCAGTTGTCCATTAGCATCTTTGATAGCCTCATGAGTAGGCATGAGATACTGGTTTGCCCTGATGTTCAGCTCTGGTTAAGGAGGTGCCTGGCAGTTTTCTCTACTGTACAGTTGCTGTTTTTCCCTTTGTTTGAAAAATAGTTTATGGGGGACACTTTGAGGCTATGTAAATATCCTGGTCCCCTCAAACTCTGACCCTTACTTTCAGCATCTGGTGACGCTTCTGAGGCCATCATTCTTTCTGTATTGGTCATGTTACTCTAAGACGTTTCCTCATTGCTTCACTTACTGATTCATCGCTTTATTTATATTAGTTCATATCAATAACTTGTTGAATGTGATGCAGCTCATTCTTGTCACTGCTCATTTTGATGCCTAGATTGTTCCAGGTGTGGCCGGTGCAGGTCCCTTCAGGCTGGCTCCTGTGTTCTTTTGACATGGGCCCGTCATTGAGCACTTCCGGTCAGGCTTTGGTGCAGCAAGACATTCAAGGCTCCGTGCCCCAGCCTGGCATCAGCCCTTTTCACAGGGAGCCTTGGTTCCTTTTAGTTGAAGTGGCACTTAGATACCAAGATATAGATGCATGACACATATTTTTATTTATCGAAAGCCTTCTCAAATAAATATAATTTGGTATTCAGTTGTTTAATCATGTTGCAGCTGAATAAAGGATTTTCGTGAATGTCTAGTTCTTGACTTTTTTTTATAAGTGGAACAAGTGACACATGATATTAGCACAATAGGATGGACTTCAGCAACAAAATAGAAGAAGACCTTGCCTGCTCAAAAATAATTTGTTTCTATTTAATTGTCAGGGAACTTATCAGAACCATTGAGCTGATTTCTAAAGCGGAAGGAGACACTTGAATGCCAGAGCCAGGGACCCTTGCTCTTGACTGTGGCCTGTACGAAGCCCAGCTCCATGAGGCAGTGCCCATGATACTGTTGTCAGAGCTTTGAAGTGACAGTGCAGTGTCCCTCAAGGCAGTGTGCCCTGGTGTTTCAGGTGGTCTTTGACATAGCTTTCCCCCAGAGGGGTGCTAGTGTTGTGGGAAGACATGGGTGTGACCTGTGTCCTCCCTGTGCCATCATTAGACTATGTGAGCAAATCAGATCTGGTCCCTGCTCTCACTATTCTTGGGATTTTAATGAAGAAGGAAAGGTATAATGGCAGGCCAGTCAGCTGACGGAGGGCCAAGGTGGGCAGCTTTCCCAAAGAAGCAGCATGTAGGGAGCCGGGAGCCAGAGGGTGAGAGGTAGTTAGAAAAAACTCCACTCACCAAGTGCTTATGAGTACCTTTGTGTGTGCCAGGTAGTAAGGGAGGACCTGATCGCTGGCGAGCGATCATGAGCTGCCTGGAATGCAAGAGCCATGTGATGGCAGTGGTGCTGGGACAAGTTAATCTGTTGAACCAGCTTCAAGTCCTGGCTCTGCCTCTTACTTGGTGTGGATGTCAGTTTTTTTCGTGTTATAAAAGAAAAATTAGCTGCTTAGCAGGGTCTCTGTGATCCAGGGTCACGCCAGTTTTAAGGCATTGCAGCATCTGGAGCATGATATTCCT